GCGTTCTGAGCCTGAGCGCGGATCTGCGATATCCCCACCATGTGGCTGACATATTGCTGCATGTGGCACAACCCAGGCTGCTGACCAATATCCGCACATCAAACCAAAACCATCCCAAAACATTCCAACGCATTTCAGAGATCGAGGTCGTGGCACCCTCCACAGAAATTGCCTGCAATGATTCAACATGATTCAACTTTCATGGAAGATCATCCGAGATCATCCAAGCATGGCGAAGCCAAACAGACCTGTCTGCTTTGACTGGCAAGTGCTTTTTGGTTTTGGTTTTAAGATGTTTTAAGTACCACATAGCGCCATTTGCTTTTGCTTTTGGTCTGGTGTATGGTGCTGCGTTCTGACGTACCAACCATGTCACACGATCATATATCATCTCTTCATATCTCTTCACTGCTCCAGTTCTGACCTCGCTGGCAAGTAAGCCCTGCGTCGCAGCCTGAGCACAGTTTTCCAAAATTTCTTGCCCAGAAGCCAAAAACAAACAACACCGAATTCAACCCCTATGCGGCTGCACTTCCCTTGGAATGCGGCCGCACCCCGGCTACGCCCAAATCAGCCTCTGATGGGACCATGTCTTGAGCAAACAAATGGTGTTAAACATGTTAAACCATGGCGACAATCAAACGTCCACCAGCTTCTATACCCTCAGAAAAAAGACTGTCAGAACCACACACCAAGTTGTGTGACAACATGTGACAACGTACCTCGCGTGGCAGCGTGTCTTCACGCTGCGGCGTTGCAGCTTGCGCAGGAATCAAAGTTGTTGTCGCAGCCTCGTCTCGCATTTGGAGGAGGCGCCAAGCAACCAAAGAAGGCCAAGATGAGCCAAGATGGGTCAAACATAGTCGAACTAACTTCATCCTGTTTTAGTCCAATATAGGACCACACAGGACCTCAGATCGGGACAGTACCCCAAGCTGCATTCAAAATTGCCTCCGCCAATGTTTTTCTTTGGCAACTCTCATTGCGCAGCGTAATAAGCGCAAACGCAACATAGTGAGATATAGTAAGGTACGGTATGGTTTTGGTTGTCAACAAGAAACGCCTGATGAAAAAGATTGAACATGCTCACAGAGCGCTCTGATTTCTGTCCAACCTCAGCTGGAAGCATGGCATTCTGAGCCTTAGCGCGGATCTGCAATATCCCCACCATGTGGCTAACATATGGTTGCATGTGGCACAACCCACGCTACTGACCAATATCCGCACATCAAACCAAAACCATCCCAAAACATTCCAACACATTCCAACGCATTTCTGAGATCGAGGTCGTGGCACCCTCCACAGAAATTGCCTGCGATGATTCAACATGATTCAACTTTCATCGAAGATCATCCGAGATCATCCAAGCATGGCGAAGCCAAACAGACCTGTCTGCTGTGACTGCCAAGTGCTACATGTTTTTGGTTTTGCGCCATTTGCTTTTGGTTTTGGTCTGGTGTATGGCGCGGCGTTCTGACATATCAAACACGTCACACTGTCATCATGTCTTCACTACTCTTCACTGCGCCAGTTCTGACCTCGCTGGCAAGTAAGCCCTGCATCGCAGCCTGAGCACAGTTTTCCGAAATTTCTTGCCCAGAAGCCAAAAACAAACAACACCGAATTCAACCCCTATGCAGCTGCACTTCTCTTGGAATGCGGCCGCACCCCCGGCTACGCTCAAATCAGCCTCTGATGCGACCATGACTTGAGCAAGTACAGGTGATGTTAAACCATGGCGACAATCAAACGTCGACTATCGTCGACTAGCTTCTACATCAACTGTCAGAACCACGCACACCAAGTTGTGTGACAACGTACCTCGCGTCGCAGCATGTCTTCACACTGCGGCGTTGCAGTTGGCGCAGTGATCGAACTTGTGGTCGCAGCCTCATGTTATCTCATCTTGCATTAGAGGAGGCGCAAAGCAACAAGATGGGTCAAACATAGTGAAACTAACTACATGCTGTTTGACTCCAGTATAGGACCTCAGATCGGGACCGTACCCCCTCCTGCATTCAAATTTGCCTCCGCCAATGTCTTTTTGACAACTTTTGCTACGTTGCACAATGCACGCAAACGCGGCTATCATGTTGATCATGGAACAAACAACTACGCGACAGTGATGACAACATCGCCTCCATGGTCCCTTCACTTCGCATCTTCTTGGTTGGTGGCTCCATCTCTGCTTGCACCTACCACCACCAACACAACAGAACAACAGCTGGACATGTCTGATCAAACAAGTGCAGAGTCATCCTTCTGATATCTTCTGATGCATTCTGATTTTGTTGAGATATATGATGTAACATCTTGCCACCCTCCAAAAATACAGCACCATCGCCCTGTCTGGAAAGCGCGCACAGCCAGCCCATTCTTATTGGATTCGAGAACCATCAAGAACCCCATAGCTGCCCCATGCTGTCCCTACACAGATCAAAATGAAACTGCCCCCCCCCCCCCCCCACCCCCCCAAAAAAAAAAAAAAAAAACCCCCCCCCCCCCCCCCCCCAAAAAAAAAAAGACAACAAACTTCTTGCAAAAAACGACAAAACATGCCAGCGCATGTCAAAGATCGTCAACACATGTCAAAGCCAATGCATTCGGAATCGTTCGGAATTTCACGCAATCTCAACATCGATAAACTGGGCGACGCCTTGCGTGCGTCGTCTATAGGGACAGCCACACCTGCTGGCTGCTCAACACGCACACGATCATACATGCACACGCTGAAAAACACACAGCTGCACATTCCAGGGTTAACTACAGTAATTCTCTTCCAGCATCTTCCAGCCTTGGGCACATCAACCCCCAATTCGCCCAAATACTTCTTAGCCTCCCTCAAAGATCTGAACTTCTTGTGGTCCACATAGTAGCATTCTCAGGAAACACTGCACTGTGTGGCATTGCGTGGCATTGCTAATGGCTATACACCATGCTACACCCAAACCATCTCAAGATATCTCAAGATATCTCAAGTCTCAAGGTATCTTCAATTATCTAAAATTATCTAAATATATCTAAAATTATCTAAATATATCTAAATATTTCCCCCTGAAATTCTGAAATATATATATTCTTTTGATGTCCTGTAGGGGAAACTGCTAGGCCTGCGGGCTAGTAATACTTTCTGCACGCACTCCGACGAAGCATTCTGAGATATTCCGAGAATCAATACTCAACATTGTTCTTGATTCTATCTGATTCTAGAAAATGTCCTGTGATGTCCTGTGTCTGCACTGTGAGCTGAGGGTGGCACTGTCGATGGCCCCCACACTCTCGCCGAAAGTTCGCAGCCGTTCTTCTCGTGCGAGGAACATGACCAGGGACGAGGCAGAAGCCAAATGGCTGCACTATGCTGCCATTGCACCCAAGGAATTTTGTAGAAACCCCAATGATGCGCATCAAAGATGCAAACCTGGACATTCCTACCCAAATAGATTCTATCCCGTTGCACCATGTTGCACCATTTGGCTTTGGTCTGGTGTATGGCGCGGCGTTCGGACATGTTCTGACATATCAAACACGACACACTGTCGTCATGTCCTCACTACTCTTCACTGCGCCAGCAGTTTTCCCAAATTTCCTTGCCAAGCTGAGAAACAAACAACACCGATTTCGACCTCGATCCAGCTGCACTTCTCTTGGAATGCGGCCGCACCCGCAGCTACGCTCAAATCAGCCTCTGGTGCGACCATTTCTTGAGCAAAACAGAAACAGGGGGAGTTGGCTTCTAGACCACGACCAACACACCTCTTGTCACTTCTAGATACTTCTGGGATTCCCTGATCATCCCTGATCCAAAGCCAGCGGAGCCCTGATGGACGCGCATGGACGCAACTCCTTCTCCTGCTCCTTCTCCAGTGTCTGGAACTCAGCTACCCTTACTTTCTAGCTCTTTCTGGCCTAGATCTGGGATCTGTCCACCCCTAGATCCAAAAACACTCTCTATAAAATGACCTGTCTCTACCCCCTCCCCTCACCACAAACACAATTTAAAAAAAAAAAAAAACAAGGCACCACCGCGTGGCTCGAAAAAACTCGAGCCACTTGCAACATCCTACCTTCTCCTCTTCCTCATCACTCCATTTCTTCATCCGGGATTGCCACAACCGAACAAGTTTGATGCCACCTCACCTACCTGCATGCCCACTCCCTTTCCCTTTTCCTTATCCTTTCGTTCTTGTTTATATTCCTTTCATTTTTGTCCATTCCTTTCCTATCCTTTGCTTTCCTATATTAGAGTTGTATATAGATCAAATTGTGCAATTCCACCAACATCCACCAACTATTGAAATTTGTCAGTTTTCATCCCCCCCCCAAAACCATACCTCCTAAATGAAAGCAAAAATGACATTTCAGTATGTGACCCACCCCCCCCTGGAATTTTCATTTATAAGAGGGTACTGATGCCTAAACAAATTACCCTCATGATGACTGGAGGGTTTACTTGATCCCTCTTCAACGGCGGGTGTTGGGGTTGTGAGTGACGGTCCTAGAAGAAGGGAAATAGACCAACACCCGTTGCTTGGGCTGTCCGGATCCCCGATCGTCAGGCCTACAACAGGCCTTGACAAAAAAAAGAACCGAAGCTGCAAAAAAAAAAACATTGGTTGGGATCCCCCCGAATTAAAATACAACAAACCAAACACATGGAATTTGAAAAAACAAAACTGCTCATGTGTTTCTTCATGTGTCTATTCTTTTGTGGCCTGTCACATCCATTGACCAGTTGAGCCGAAGTTGGGTCGTGGCAATCCGAGCTGTGGGTCGTATACCGTGCTGTGGGCTTTTCAACACGGTCCCTGAGCCTCGCCACGCAAACACTGCATATGACCTACATGTTGTCTTTTGAGGATGATGTGTTTGTTGGCTAGTTAGACCTATTCAGTAGCTGTTGATATATACTATATACTATATGTATGCATGTGTATGCCATACAGTGGCTGAGATTTGGACCCTCCAAAGATAGAGAAACAACACAGTCCCGTCCCAGGCACTGATGGCCCGGTCAAGGGCGCCGGTGAGCCAGCCAGAGACGTCATCGAAGTAACAGCGATCCGTGGGTGAAGCCTTCCTCAGATCCAACCATGCCGATACACACAAATGCCGAAAATCCTGGTTCCAGGAGATGCACTTTGGTGATTAAAAAAAAAAACAACATGATGTAAGTCACCGGGGTGTCCAGTGAGCTTCGTTGCTCCAACATCCTGCCAAAGCCCTGGTTAAGAGTCTGGCCAGGGAAGACAGTTCTATTCAGATATTCAACCAACACACCAAAGGGTGTGCAACCTATCCACTATATAGACAAATATGTTCTTCAACATATAAACAAATTTGATTATTATATATGTATATACTTATATGTACATGTATATATTTCTCGCAGAAGTAACGAAAAGAGAACTGCCCGACATGAGGGTGTTGTCCAATGATAGAAGAACTTCTACACCATACAAACCACACAACCTTGCATAAGAACACATCTCAAAAATGTCGTCTCCGATTTGTCGTTGAGTTTCATCTCCGGAACCGCACCTTTTGTCGCTTATTCTCTGACACCTCCTTCTTCAATAGCGTTTCCTTTTCAGGGTGGTCATTCCCTTCACCTCCCGTAAGAAACAAGATTCTCCTTTGGAGCCAAGGGCAAGCGCCTCCAGAGCTCGTCCAAGCGCTCCAGGATCTCCTTGTCCAAGCAGGTTGACTCAGGTTGACGGCTCAACCCACATGGAAGCGGAACATGGATAAACATGGATCCTGGGAAGACAAATTTGTAGTGTCATCGTCATATATCGTCATCATCATCATCATCATCGTCATCATCAATGAACACAATGGCAATCTTGAGACACCATCTCAAATTCTTGGTGGCCAAGGCAGGTCTCTAAATCAGTGGCAGCACGCCTCCTTTGTTCTGGGATCCCACTGCCTGGGTGGGACTGTTGTTTTCTTTTCAGGATACATGTCTGACTGTTCTGTACCCACAAGCTTGAAACTATACCAAGTGAATCTCCCAGTCTTTCCCCCACCATCTTCAAGCAGCTCGCGGTCACCATTGTGAGTCTGTCCTCCCCATCGGTCCTCCCAGTCCCCATGGTCTTCTCCTCTGCCACAGCATCGTCCACCACGGTGGTGCCTGCACCTGGATGCTCGCACTGCCTCGGGATCACTGTCAGCGCACACGACGCCTCCGTCGCAGCGGTCGACGTAGACGGAGTCCGCCTGCAGCCGGTGCCAAGCCGGAGCAGCGAGTGGGAAAGCGTCATCACCCAAAGAGAGGTGATATATATATATAATATAGTCTAATGATATCTACAATTATCTATATATCGTATATATATAGACCCTTATGCCTTCCAAGACCAGTAAGAACAAAACATTGTATATATTGGTTTTGTAGTGCAAAGTCTTTTGTAAATATTTGTAAATCAATCGTTGTTCGATGTTGTTCGGGATTCGAACCATTAGAAGCCAATGACGGTGGGAGCCCTAGGAGCCCTAGAAGTCACAGTCTCAAGCGATTCAAATATGCCATGGCATCCCAGGGCCCAGGTTTGATCGGGGATGAACTACCAGCGCCCTATCAATGGATATGGGGTTTCTCTAAATAGCCCCGAACAGAGTGAATTTTGGGGTGCCCATGAACCACCCAACTCACGTGGGTCCTGGTATATGGTAGCTACACTCTGACTCACTGACATGGAAGTGGCGAGCTGCCTGTTTGTAAAGGAAATGGTTTTCCAAAGGCCCAGGCCATCTACTTCCATGCTAGTGAGTCGGAGTGTATTTGCTAATTACTGACTTGTGCTTATTAGTATATAGGGAATAAGGGAAGTGTCGCTCCCAATAGACATTTGCTTTGGATCTAGCCACCCTCATTCCCTACGAGTCGCATGATTATTCCATTCCAATCCTTATCTGCTAATCCTGGAAGCCGAACGGATTTTCAGCCAAACAAATACCACGAGTCGACCACGAGGAGTGGTCATGTCATGTCGGGAGACCCTGAAGTTGGACTTCTATAAAGAGATACCCTAGGGATCCAATCACCTTCTCAGCTACATAACATGCAGTGTCTCTAATATTCTCTAATCACCTTCTGAGAAGGTACTTGGATCCCTAGAGATATACAATGGCGACTCAAACCCAGAGGTGTGCACGACCGAAGAACACGTACTGTACCGTGTTCAGGTGGTCAATCTTACACCCGTCCACCATGGCTATCCAGTCTTCGAGATGGATATCCAGTCTCGGGTGGCAGCAGAAAGCACCGCCCTGAACGCAGTGGCTTGTTTGAGACGCTTGATTGTGAAATCTGTATAATAGACATTCCTTCTGTAGGGGCCCTGGTAGTTCATCGCGGATAAAACCTGGGTTTCCCCAACCTGGCCTTCCGCATTCATCACTTCCCTTCAATCCACCCTCCCACCGCGATCCGTCCTCTCTTCGCTGTCAGCAGCGCCAGTAGCGCCCCAGGTGCTGAAGGCCTCTAAGACACCCCTGTGTCCACGGAGAGCTGCCGCCTGGCGTTGGATGTACAAAAATCAAATGACATCAGTTTGAAGGCTTGAGATCCCAAAATGATCCCAAGTGAATCCATGGCAGGTATGAAATGTCTAGCTAAGGCTGTTGTGGGTAGTTGAGTGGTATCAATGTGTTGGTTTAGAGATTCTAGATCAGTTCAATACCTAACTGAATTCTAATGATGACGCCATAAGTCAATGATCAATGCCACTTAGACTGGATTTGGAACACTGAACCCAACATCGATAATCGAGACGACGGAACATGAGGCATGATCATGGATCATCGGACTTGCCTTTGGCTGAAGCTCAAAAATAGGGTCAGTGCCATGAAAAGCACAAATCGACCAACAGTTGCAAGTCCCTCAACCTTTGTTGAGCCTCTTCCGTTTGATGGAACACCATGGAACACCCGCCCAAACCTCATTCAAACCATGCTGGTCCCTGCATGAGCCGTCACACCGGCTCGCGTGGTCGTTCGGCGCGGGGCCTCCCATGGAGAGATCCCTGCGTTGTCACAGAGGTTCAGGTCCTAACCGGCGGACCGGAGGACGGACCGGTGGTCACCCACCCGGACTCCGAAACCATCCGGTTGGTTGGTGCGAATTCGGAATTCGGGTGGAAGGGACACATACGAATGGATGGTCGGATTGGGACATGGACCCAGGTGAGATTGGTGTGGTACAATTGCTATAGGTGCGATCATCGGTAATATCGGTGATATAGGTTTATAACATATAATGGCGACCAGGTAGTCTCCCTGGCCCCCGATCCCAGGTCAATAGGCCGAGGCTCAGCATTTTCAGAGGCTAAGAAGGATATCAGCTCTGCAGCTCCTGCCATGGGAGCTTTCTTGGGTTCGTCAGAGCGGTCAATAGAGGAGAAGGGGCAAAATGCCCTGGCTTACATATCATAATCGCAATATACAAGTAATTTGCATAGCCTGCGGGCCTGTTCAAACGAAGATTTGAGCGGTTGCGCTGGCTTCACATATTGGAGAATGGAACACATACCGCTGAATGAACGTGTCCCTCCCTATATTGTCCCATAGGCCTATAGAATCGGGGTTGAAGCTTTCGAACCACTTCCTGAGTGTTCTGAAGGACTTGCAACGCAAAAGCAAACACTTGCCATGTAGCTATAGGACAACTTCAGTGCAATGACCAGCATCAAGAACTACATGTCCGACCTCTGCAAACACAAGAGACGCCCAGCACGACACACGAGAGACGCCCAGGGAGACCTCTGAGGATCTCCCTCATGCGGTTTAGATGTTCGCCTTAAAGACTCCCACCCCCACTCTCCTGTCAGGGCGGCTAAGAAGGTCGCACTTTGGCCATACCTGGGCCATGGGGTTTAGCTTTCTGGCGCCTGCATGATCTCGCCCAAATCGATATTATGGCTGAGCCCATGGTCGAAATCGTGTTCAATTTGCAAGGTGAGGATGCTCAAGAGTTACACGTTCTTGAGACGTTCTTGGGTTAGCAGGGCCAAGCGGAAGTGTTCCTATAGCAAGCCTTGCATGCAACAGGCCGACAACCAAACTGTATATATAACATATAAGTGTGTAACATGCTTTCTCCACACCGTTTCCGACTCTGAGCAGATGGATCAACAAAGCATGGCTCCAAGTGGCATTCGACAACAACTGCAGCACAACTTCAGAAAACCAGTGATACAGTATATATTATACACTAATTACAGGTGATGCCACAATGTCCTAAATGATCCTAGGTGGATGCTCTGTGTCACCAACAGCTTGAGGACTCACTTTGGCCTACATCAGCTGCCAGCACTCCCCCAACCATCCAACATCATTCAACGAACATCACATTCCCTCACAACGTCCCTATATCTGCTACACAAGTCCCCAAACACCCCAACCACCGGTTCACGCCCCCACACCGTGGTCCCGCCATCCGCGGTCCGTGGTCCCGCCCCAGGCGCTCGTTCCGCCCGTCCACCCGCGCGCCGTCCGCCACGGCGGCACGCGCGCCGAGGACGTCGCCCCGCTCAGCGGCGGAGCTCAAGCGCTGCTGGGCGCTGCGGCGCGTGGCGCCCAGGTCCAAGGACCGGAGGAAGTCCTGGCGGGGGGCAGCGGTCTGCAGGGGGGGCAAGGGGGCGAATTAAAGGGGCTGGGGTCTATAAATATGCTTGTGGGCTGCGAATCATCAGATAGTAGGACGGAAGTTCGTCCTGGATCTTCGGAATGTGTACAATGTCTGACTCGACATCGTAATTATGACATGTTACATGTCGAAGAAACAAGAGAGGAGGTGGCAATGGATGCCGTGGCCTTCTCATCCTTTTTGGTCACTCACTCACCCTCCGCTGCTGGGAATGTTCATTGTTCTCGATGATGATGCTTATTGTTATTTTCATTATGATTAATCTTCATGTACCAGCTTCTTCGAAGTGACCTCTAATAGAGGTCACTTAGCAAGAAAATTTCAAGTGGCCACTTAGACCTTTATTATCGAAGCAAGTGACCATTTTTTCAAATACATATATCGAGACAAGTGACTGTTTTGACAATTCCGTGTGAAGAAACACCATTTGAGCCAGTGGATGAACCGACCCGAGCAACACCAGTACCCCTGGGAAAGGGGGAAGGGGAGAAGAGATGAACTTGGCGATCACGAAGCTCGCATCGTCCATCAGCACCTGCAGGCTCACGGGATGGGCCGTTTGAAGGACTTGGCAGGTCAAACCAGAGTGATGAAACATGTCTGCAACCCATGGCCATGACCAAAGGGTTGAAAGAGGTTTTGCATGGCGCACATATGCATGGCGCACATAGCTAGCTGTTGACCTTTGGCTGCTCGTGCTGTGCCATGGGTACAGAACCTTTGGTGGATCCTGGGACAAAGTTGAAAGCCCTTTCACGAGATGGGCAGTTCCTTGGTGTATCTAATAGCACTGATCAAAGTGATGCACGATTGACAAGACACATGTAGCATTTGTTGGACGCTGTTGGAAGCACTATGGACTATCGTTGGACTATTGGACTATCCAAGGCGTCTTCGCAAGGCGATGTTCAGACATCTTCCTGCTTGGTGCAGGGAGGAGCAGGAGTTAGCCCCTGGTGGTGACCTCCGCCTGGCTGGGAATGCCTGGTTGAGGAAGGTGTGGGATGGATGCCCCAAGATCAAGAGGGTTCCTCGTGAGCCTGAATTCAGGAAGGTGGTATACCAGCTGGTCCATTTGGTTGATATTTGTGCCTTGCCTCACGATCTTCACAAATGATTTTTGAAGAAATTGTAATGTTACAGTGGGCATGGGGGTACTTGGTTTCCAACCGGGCTGCTGGGTCACAATATACATGATTCGACCAAGGTCCACACAAGAATAAGTCTGACAAGGAAGCTTGGATCCGTGAACAAGCGCCTTGCATGCATGCTTACAAAAATAGTATCTGTGCCATGCATGCACATGCACTGTGTAAGGTTGCAGTCTATGATCTAAGGCAAACCGATGCCACCGGATTATGTCTCGGCATAAAAAGCTATCATCCCGACCTACTTCATCCAGCACGCTGGGGGGCAGTATGCAGCTGGGAAACACAATAGAGCTAATTGATGGATCGGGTTCCGGGTGTTTTATGTCATTTCAAGGGTGGAACCGGAGTCATCTCACTGGCCATGCATCATACACTGCATCATACATGTATGATATGTTTTTGAAGAAATGGTCACTTGCTTCGATAATAAGGGTCTATGTGGCCACTTGAACTTTTCTTGCACGCTAGCCTCTTTTATAAGTCACTTCGAAGAAGCTGCATTTAAGGAATCCTGATGATATGGATACTCTGCCAATGGACCCCACTGCTTTTCCTGTCTTGGAGGAGTCGGCTATGCAGCTTGCATGAATAGTTGCTAGCCAGTGAGCCAGTGCACTAATTTGAATGCCAAATTCTACGGGGGTCCCTTCAACGATGAACTTCCCCCAAGGCGTCGTTGTGGATCTCTTCCTGCAGAAGCCCCTGGTACATCGAAAACAACACAGGCTGGTACCTATAGTTCTTTCCATGCACCCCACAAAAAATGATTGACGTCAATGTGATGTGCACCCACTAGCACTAAGCACTAGCATTTGCCGTGCGAGGATGGTGAAGGAAGCGAAGGTGAAGATTCACAAGGAAGTGAAGGAAGTGAAGGAAGCGAAGGAAGTGAAGGAAGCGAAGGAAGTGAAGCAGGAAGTGAAGCAGCAATCGCAGGAAATGAAGCAGGAGGTGAAAGGAGTGCAGAAGAAGAAGAGGACGAAAATTGTCGGGGCAGGAAACGAAAAAAACCTGGGTCTCCCAATCCTGACCTTCATGGTAGGGATTCATCAGAGGAAGCAAGGTCTGATCCGTTGCTGCAGTGGATTCGAAACTTACAGCCTGCCTTTGAAGAAGCCTGCGATCCAAAAACTGGAGAAAGTGATTCCAAAGAATCCGGGAAAGAGAAGAAAGAAAAAGCTGCGCAGGACTCCGAAGAGGAAGGGGAGAAGGAAGAGGATGCAGAGGAGTCACAAGAAGAGAGAGAAGATGCAAAGCAATCAGATGAAGATGTGAAGGGTTCAGACGAGGAGGATGGCAGGGAGTCAGACAAAGATGATGAGAGCAAAGAAGTAGCACAGGACTCTGAAGGGGAAGGGGAGAAGGAAGCAGAAGGAGAGGATGCAAAGGAGTCAGAAGAGAGAGAAGATGCAAAGGAATCAGCAAAGGAGGATGCACAGAAAAAA